AAATCAGTTATCTCTCTTTGCAGTGTTTTGTAATAATTATTAAAAATAAAATAACTATTTTTTCAACAATGTTGGATTCAAGTTTTATTATCAGATAAGAAAAAGGATTTTGAAGTTGTAAATTGTAAAACAATTGACATTTAGAAACAAATCAAAAGATAAAAAAAAATTTCTTAGTTATATAAAAGATACAAGAACATTAATTTCTTCAATAGTTCTGCTCTATATATATAAGTAGCAATGCTATTTGATATTATTTGTAAGTGGCATATCTCACATATCTTCTTCATATGAAATGTTAAGATACCGAGAAAGAAATCAGTTTATTGACGATATCTGTGCGACCTTCAAAGTTCCAGACACCAGATTCTTTAATTTCTCAATCAGCTTTTGTTATATAACTTTTCTAAATGTAACCTCTCTTTGTGCAATGTTTTGCAGCTTCACAAATCTGAGTTGCAACTTTTTGATTTATCCTCATTGAAACTTAGAAAAATCTGTTTCAGGAATAGATTGACAGACAAACACCTCAGTTCTCAAACTTAAACTACATCCCCATGGGAACTAGACTATGGAACTATTCTCTAAATAGTCACAGCTTCATATGTCACATAATATTAATTTGATCATTAAAGATAATTTTTGTATTTATTTTCAACTATTGGCTCTATGGCCCTCCAAAATTTTTCCTTTAAGTTTATGGCCAGCTCCTAAATTTTTTTCCCATTGCTGGTCTAATTGGTTACCTTTTTAAAACATTCTAGTATGCAAAGAATAATGAACTTCAGAGAGAGGCAATTCATTGCTTGGCATACCTTGGACAAAGATTATGTTTTTTCCAAAACATTGCGCAAAGAATCATTTGTGCTTTGAACTTTGTAAAAACTTTTTTCTGTTTTCTAAAAATGACCAGTAATAATTATAATGATGTGAAACTTATGTCTGACAAACATTAAATGTTAAATAAATTCAAAATGTGCAAATATCAAGATCATAATTCAAATTAATAAACACAAATGATTTTTCTTATATTTGTTTTCTCACAATTATAACTACAACAATGTTTTCAGTTGCTGGCCATTCATTGTACAGTGAGCTAGGTGTTAATATTAAAGTTTGTCTGTCTGCTACAGTCAATTATGTAGTTTTTATGGAAGCCTAGTCGTACCATATTTCACTATATCTTTTTTACTGTAATAGAGTGAAAGAGTGCCAAACCAACAAAAGGCTGAAAGAAGAAGCAGGCTTATCTGCAACTGACCAAACTTACCCATGCCAAGTATGCAGCAGGCTTTTTAATGCGAGGATTGGACTTTACAGCCATCTTCTGAGTCCATAGGAAATGAGAAATGTGCTTGGATCATGAAGGAGAAGCTATTGATAAATATTTTTGAAGACTTTCACAACTTAATGTACTAATAGCATTTTCATCTAATTTTTAGATTCATGCAGCCCCTCAGCGGTACCACTGTGCATACATCGGAGCTGCTGCAGTGGCCCTCATGCCCCAGTTTGAGAAGATGGCCATCTCCCAGGAGGAGTGGAAGAGAGAAAGTGTCAGTGCATTCAAAAAATGGCAAGCGCCCACTTCTTGACATTCTAACAGAACATTGGGTCACTGTCTGAAAGGTCTCACTAAGAGACTGGATACAGAGGTTGCAGAAAGCATAAATTGAACTACTTTGACCTGAACTTACATGTGGAAGGTTGTCAACTATGTTGCTTTACCTAATAGTTAGATGTAGACATAATACTGATAGCAACAAATTCAGTTACTCTATACAATTTGTTAATTCATGTGTAAATATTTATTATATTATCAGCATGATAAGTTGGTCTATAAACCTTTACATGAAGCGTAAGTTTCAATGTCTACTTGATGTGATGGTCATTTTTGTTTTTGTGGTCAGATGTCCTCAACTCAATGAAAATCTTCTTGATGTGACTCCTAGTGTGCTGCCTATAGATGTGAGGTCACAGTCTTTACTTTGAACTTTCCTTACTCTTGGAATAAGTTATTACTCTGTGCATTTGATAGTTTGAATTATTTCTGTTTAGTAAGAAATGAATGTATTGCCTGACTCTGTTTATGGTGACAGAATTATATATTTTTACATACACAGCCTATGTATTATTTTTTTTTATACATGCTTACATAATATAAATAACTCTTCATATACAAATGTATTTTATAATTCTATACATTCCATTAATTTTACTTGGTGAGTTTTTATTTTTTTGTTCAACTCACCACTTCTGTGCATTCCAGTGTCATCGTCATCGAGCTGAAGACTTTGCATCCAGATTGTGTCTATTTATAGCGGACATAAGTCTAGTTGTGAAACCTAAGTACCCCATCCCTCCCCCATGACCACTTCCCCCCCTTACAATTTATATTTTGCTATTCACCAACCTACCCTACTTGCTCAAAAGCTTACATCCAAGCAGAGGCAACTTTTTATTTGTTAGCATCCCAATGCTCTACCTCCAATTTACCACATCCCATAATTTTGTGTGTATGTCAATGCATGTGCGTAGAACTTGAGTGTCACTTCGTGAGATGAAGTCTGATCAAAGACCCAATCAGTTTGACTTTGTACAGCTTCCGAAGAAAAAACTTAACTTGAGATGCCCCACTGCTGATTGAATTAACACATGTTAATCCTGTCTACAGTAGCAATTTATTTATCCAGGGAGATGTGTTATTAGATTCACTTGCGATGACTGAAATCAGGCAGGGTAGAAACGCTGTATGTCTACACTACATTTAAGCTTTTTAATCCCCGCTTTATAACTTTTATGCAACATTAACCTTGGCTTTATATTATACATATATACACTACAGTAATAATAGAACAAAATAGTAACAAGTCTCTCTCTCAAGAAGGTGTTAGCATATAATGAAAGTAAAGTTCCCTCTTTCAGAAAATTTTGTCTATAGGGCAGAAGATGTAAAGGTTATGTTTCTCTGGCCCTCGGTTAACGAGGGTGTCATGTGGCCAGCACAACGACCAACCGCCTTTACTTTTCCCCAACTAATGTCAGGTACCCATTAAAGCTGGGTGGACCCAGAAGCCCTTTAAAGAACCTGAAATTAAAAATCCCAGTCTTCACCAGGATTCAAACCCGGGACCCCTGGTTCAGAAGCCAAGCGCTTTACCACAAAGCCACCGTGTCTCCATACAATGAAAGTAAGCAACTAATTTTGTGTTGTTTACAATTTGCAGTTGGGATGTAGCACCTCTTCTTAGAATTAATAATAATTTATTTTTATATTATTTTTTTCATTACATTTTGGGAAATTTATTGTAAAAATTCATAAAAAAATTTTTTCACCAATTGAATTTGGGCCAAAAAATCATCAAAAAGTGAAGAATTATTTGCCCAATTAATTTCTTATTTCAAAGAAGAAAAAAAGTGAAATTTCATAAACTGCGTGGTGGAGAATAAACTATAGTGACATCAAAAGTCTAGATCAAACATTTTTAAAAAGTGAAGAAGAGGCCATTCTGGTGCATTGTATTGTATCATGATACATAATTGTGAGTCACGGAATGGGCAACCATTTGGGTTTGTTATTTATGTATTGACTCTTGTTGAAATGTTTGTTTGAGTGTGAAGACCTGTGTGTGTGTGTCTTGTGATGAAACAAGGAAGGCAATTTAAAAAAATAATAATTTTTCCCTCAACTCATTGGGGATGAGCTAAACCATCCCCCCCCCCCCCCCCCCTTTCTTATTCGCTACTGAAAGAAATGGATGAGATAGAAATGTTGATGAATTGTTGTCCAGACCAAACCTTTCTCTCTGTAATTGCTGTCTACACTTGTTATATCACTGATACCATTCCATCTGACATTCTTTTATACCAACTTGTCTCATTATACACATTTTTATTCTATTTATTTATCTTATTCTAAACAGCATAGTTCATTTATTTATACACAGATACAATATATATTGTGTGTGTTTGTAGTGGTTCTAACAATGAATGATGAGTGACAGTCCATTGAAGTCATTCTAACTCCATGTGTGTGAGGGCTTGAGAAGCTCCACTCTTCCTCCCTCTGGACTATAAGCCCTCCCCCCTCCCCCCCCCCCCCCCCAGTAAACTATAGTGGAAGTAGAGAATCACTACACAAAGTGTGTCGGAGAGTATTGAATTGTTTTGTAGAGAAAGGAAAAGTTCATTCCACATGTGGCAGCATTGTGACTTTAAAATGAACTTAATAGTGTCTAGTTGTGATCAAAAGTGTATTTATTGTTTTCGTGCTTATTTTATAATGTGCTGTAGCCAGGCCTGATGTTTAAAAAATACTGTTTTACTCTTTATTGCTTTATACATTTCATGTTTATGTTGCTTAAAAACTGGATCATTCCAATTTTGTGTAGGCATGTAAATATTGATGTGCAACAATTGAGACTTTAGCTCTGATATAGTCCCCTGTACACTGTAACTCTTCTGTATCCTAGAAAGTTCAGAGAATAGTCATGCCTCATTGTAGCCAACTAACTAGTTATTTGTTTGTTATACCTGATAGAGTCATGTATTCAGTTGTTGGTGTTCAAAATAAAGTGAAAACTAAACAGTTGACTAAATGTGTGTGTATGATTCCATTCAATTCAAGTTGTGTTTTTGTAGTTTTCATCACTATTCTTTGTGATCAAGATTGTCTTGTTTGATATAATGCCAGTATATATTTTAATGATACACTCTACATAATAGCCCCTATAAATAGTTAGACATCTTTGGCTTGGGCATCTATTTGTTGTCAGGTTAAGATGACCTGATTTGTTGTTTTTTTTTCTTTTTTTTAGTCCAGTCTACAAGGAGGTCATCTGAACAGGATTTGTTCATTTGGGTTGTGCATAGATTTGATCTTTGTTCACTTTTTGAATATTTGTTTTCATTCAACCATACATACATACATACATGCATAGGTCTTTATCCTCATAGCAGGGATCATTCTAAAAATTCTTTGTCCTTGTAGCACTGGAGATAGAGTATATTTTAAATTCCTGATGATTTATTTGAACTAGACTCTCAATTCTAATGTTTACTTCTTTAGTGTTTACTAATGTTTACTTGTATAGTGTGTACAGATCTTTTAATGATGAACACAAAAATGTCAGTGAAATGTCCTGACTAACTGACATTAAGTCAAGGCCACACACACACATTCCGGATCAAGACATAATGCTGTGCAGCTTCTGTAGGTAGAGCATTTGATAAGAGCAGCTTATTTTTTTTTATCTTTGTTCTCACTCACACTAATGTTTCTGACTGGATCTATTGAGTCCTTGGTATCTCTTGTATTTCCTGAAATATATTTCTGATGGAGCTTCTCTTTCATGTCATGGATGTATTCAACTTTGTGTAGGTGTAGATATAACTTAGTGAGTGGAGTTATAGATGTATGTATTGGTTAGATTCATGTACAACACTCCAAGAAACAATGCAACCACTTGTGGACGGTGTAGGATTAGTTTATATGGAAGACTCAGCAAGTGATATGAACACATTGATCCACTTTTTCTTTAAGTTGGGAGAATGTTGATTTATGACTTGTAGGACGAAATGAGATTGTCTTTTAGCTGGAACATTCTAGGTGCAGGTCTCACCAGGCACATGCAGTGGCATAAATGCAGAGTCAAGTGCTTTACTTCCCTGACAACAGAATAGGTTTTCATTGATATGGATGGATGGACTATAAGTTAATGTAAGGAACTATTTGGTAATTTATATAGCTCTGCAGACACAGCTATGATGCCAGTTTGAAAGTCTTTTTTTTTTTTTCTTTTCTATCTGCTCCTGTCTTTAACAGTAATGAGAATAGGAACAGGAGCATGTAATTAAGTCCAACTGATTAATGACCAAAACACATGTTGTTAATACACGTACACATAGGCATGATGTAGCCTGTCGGTTTTTACCTTGTACAAATTCAGTTTGTACACATGAGCACTCATTGCATCTCACTCACTGCTGCTACATTTAATATCTTTCTGAGACATGAATGTCATGTGACCAAATCCTGACAGTTCTTATACATGTCCTCTGGTTGATGAATGTTGAACGTGTCTAGCTGACATTGACCTGGCATCACACTCTTTCTCTCCAATTCTAATGCAATATTTCATTTAGTACAGAAATATAAAAACATTAATGTGTTATCTACTTTTGTTTTTCATTGGCTATTTAAAAACTTTTTTTTTCACTAATATGTGCATTTTACTGTCTTATTTACACAATAAATGTCTACAATCACACATCTGGACTTAAATTAATTTTTCTTTTTTTTTTTTTAGTGTTTTATGAATTTCTTTCTCTAATTAGTGCGTAGCTGATAAATCACTAAGATTCAGGTGTTTTTTTTTTAAAGGGGGGTAACATTAATTAAACTTCAAGGGTAAAATTACAATCGGTTGTCTTAATGTTTCACAAGTTTGCGTTTCATTTAGTTTGTCGGCCTATAAAGTTCTTCATTCAGCTTTTGTTTATAGATAAACTTATATATTCACGTAAAGTATATCTTACGATTAGTCATATTTATATGGCCAATGGTGAACAAGGGTGTCATGTTGTCAGCACAATGACCAACCAACATAACCATTCCCCAATTAAAGTAAAGTACCCATTAAAGTTGGATTGAAGAAAGGGGTGTCCTAAAAACCCAACATTAAAAAATCCCAATCTTTACCGAAATTAAAAAAACCAGAAACTCCTTGGTCTGGAAGTGTTTTACCACTCAGCCATCTTAGACTTCCTTGGAGAAAGAATTCTTTAAGAACTAAGTAAAGAGAAATAAATCTTTCAAAACTAAGTGAATGCTGTCAGTGTACCTTCAAAGTAAACCCAGTAAATTCCAAATTTATTTTGGGAGATGCTCCAATTTTTTTAAAATTATGGCTACAGTCCTACACTTGTTTTATTTTAGACAAGTCATTATCACAGCTTGGAGAATGTTTTGGTACTGAACTAATTCGAAGCAAACAGATTTTTGTAAATAAAAAACACAAGAAAAACAAAAAATACTTTAAAAAAAAAAAATCTTATGATAAGTGTAATTGTGTCAATTAATTTGTAGCAGTCATGTGATAAAATTCTTATTAGATCTAGACTACCAATAATAAATCTGTGCGATTAGACATAATAATTTTTTTTACTTAGGGCTCAAACCTCCTCAAGTGGACTTAACTCTTTGTCTCCTAATCGACGATACCATTGTTGATTTGACCTCATTAAATTAAAATAATGTTTAATTTTATAAACTATACTTTGTGTTATATAAGAAGAGCACGCATTCCCCTTCTATATCAAATAAAACATTTTCTGATAACAAACGAAAAAGTTATTGAAGCGTAACCATAACAGGGGAGAGAAATAGTAATGAACAAAATGAAGAATTTCATCAGAATGTGGAAAAAAATTACGTATATAAAGAGTTAATCAACTTATACCACCACATCTGTAAAGTATCATTTCTTTCCCTTGTTTGATAACAAACAAAATAATTAATTACCAACAGTTAAATAAACTAATTGGTTATTTTTCAAATTAGTTTTTGTTTTGTCAGGTACAAGAAATAACTGTGCAAAATTTCAGCTTGATCTAGCTTGGGTGTGGGAGAAATATTGAGAACAAACTTTTTACCGGACAGACGGACATAGTAAGTTGATGTAATCTTTGTAAAAAAAATAAAACTGAAAAGAAAATTTTAAAGAAGCCACAATTTATTTCCATAATATTATATCAGCTGTCCAAGAACAAACACAGAAACAATTGTAGACACACACACTTAGAGTGGTCTGTCATGATGTCAGCTGAGTGATATAGGTCAGTGATATCATAACATAATTATGTTTTTTTTGCAGTGCTATGATACGCATAATACATACATCATAATTTCTCTCAATCACATACAATCAATATATAATATAGTGTGACTCCATTTGTAAAGTCATGAGTCCCATGATTCATTACTACAGCTACTAATGTCCCATCTTTATTTTGAGTTTTTTAACCTAGTACCCAGCCTCGCACAAAACTTTTCTTCCAACTAGTATGTGATATAAATAGAAGCAGGAACAAACAGCTCAGACGAGAAGTTATCTCCCTTCTTTTCTCTCTCTCCTTTTCACATACACTAACTCTATTTCCAAAAATAAACATTTCAATTCCCCACAAACTGAAAGTGTGCCAGGAAAAAACAAAATCACAGTCAAGACATTTCTAATGTTTAGAATGTAGAAATATGAAAGTTATAAACTTCAAACCTGTAGTTATTAAACACTCAGACCAACAGTACCCTGGTATGTGCAATAAATTCATCACTATGGTCCATGCAATATATATGGATCATTATGTTCTGCCCAATAAAAGGAAATTACATTTTTAATGTTATGGTTTATTCTCTTTATAGTTATTGATACCCATCCCCCCCCCCCCTTTTTTTTATTTTTACAACCCTAGTAAAAATGTATTTCAATATTTATATTTTAACAACTTGTAATACTGTATTTTGTAGGAAGTCAATAGCTTGCCTAGAATATAATTATTTGTTTGATGATATCTCTAATAAATCCAAAAACAGCTTTGTTAATTATTCCACAACATATAAAACAATTCTTTCAAATATTTCAATTGCACCAGCCTTGAGAAGTGACTATCGACAAGGCCATAGCCAGTTTCAGATGTCATTTTAAAATGTCAGCCATCAGAATTAAGTGACAACCTTCTGATTAAAGCAATGACCTAAATATTCCCAATGGCTGACAGTTCAGAGGTTAGGTTTACATCATTTTGTGTGTGTGGTTGGGTGCTGAGGAAGAGTTGACTCTCCAGTTCAAACCTGATCCATGTTTTACAGCATTCAAAGCCTCATTTCAAATATTCTATAAATAGACAATCTTACATCAATTCAAATATTGCACGATTTGACACAACACACACACACACACACTATAAAATCTAATTTAAAAAAACTGGACACCCACAGACCTATATATATTATATCCAGACACAAATTCATGAAATAAAGCTATTTCCTGTTAGTTTCCTTAAGATAACATTTCTAAATTTTAGATAGAAATAATTCACGGCTATTGATTTTAGTCATCTTAAGCACATTTAAATAGATTGATTACCTAGATCTTTTTAGATTATGTATCTAAAAAATTGCAAAATAATAATCATGAGACGATAGATCTAAACATTAAATTTTATGTTACATAGGTTAAGGTTGAAAAAAAACAACTTTACTCCTTATAACTACTTACAAAACAACACCTTTGTTTCAACTTTTAACAAAAAATTCATATCTTTTGTAATGTTAAAAGATTTCCATGTCCAGTCTAGATTTCATATAAAAAGGTCTGTGAGGACACCTAAATTACACTAATACAACTTTTTGTAATGATTGTTACAAAAGTATAACTAGACATTTCCAATTTTGTTTTGTTGCTTTTTCAAAGTATGAGACTTCAGACATTGCCTGTGACTTGGGGAGAAAATAAATCTTGTAGCTATGAAGAAGATAAGAAGTTTTCTGTCAACAGATTCCCATCAAAACTTGTTTAATATGGGAACAAAAGCTACAAAGTTCACAAATATTTTAAAAATCCTTTCCTTTGTTTATGTCTGGGTCTAGGTCAGGTAGTTGCTAGCATAGGACAGCAGACACACCTATGATGGACCATCACGGATGTCAGGTGAGACTTGATGAAAGACAGTTAGTTATGTTTATGAAATCAAAATCTATATAAGACCCGGCAGATTACGGGGCAATAAACCATTGGAAAGAAATGTACCTCAGCAGAAAACATCCAGAGTGAATTGTTGGTCAGCTAACTACACAATGATATTTGACATTCCTCAAGTACAAGCCAGCCTGTTTCCAACTTGTCCATGAACTTGATGTCTAAGGAAGCAATTTAAAAAAAAAATTTTTTTTCAAACATTTATTCAAAGGAAGCATAACTCTTGACACACACACAGATTGTCCCAAAAAAATGTAGTAAAAACTATGAGCACAGCCTTAAGGACAAACTAGAGAGACAAGTGAAAACAGTTCTCCATCTTGTCTATCACACACACACACAACTATAGGACAATCAAGTCAGAGGCTGGGCTGATGTTTCAATGATCTGGGTGAATTTTTTCTTGCTCATGATGAGTACTTGGTAAGGGGAGGTCTACTAATCTCATAAATGAAAGTGGGTCGTTTTATTTTTCAAGTTTTAAACGTCCCTTGAGAAATGAAGATTACTACATCCTGGGTCAAACCTCCTGCAAGATATCTGGGGTTGACAGTGGTCAGGTTTGAACTTGGAACAATCCAGATGAATGTATGAAGCACCATTCCACATGACCAGGTAAACAGTTGATGTGTGTGAAGTTGAACAATTATTTAATAAATGATTGTTAAATAGATAAAAGATACCAATTCAGTTGTAGGTAAAGTCCTAACCTTAGGTTCAAAAATGGAATCATGGGATACAGCACTCTCCAAGGTGAGAGCACTCTATTCTCTTATGCATGTTATAAAAAAAAATTATGAAACAAAGAAAAAAATTCATTGGTATGGAATTCAAACCCCATATAGACATTGACATAACATGACATAGAATTGACACAATATTACATGAAATACATGTAGAATTGACATAACATTGACATAGCATTGCTTGGATGGGAGCAGGGAAGAAACATTCGTGATATAAATTCATTATCTACAAACATCATTCCTTATACAGAGACACTGTTTATATAAAACACTAAATAATGTCAATTTTAAATAATAAATAAATTGTTAATAAATGGTCAACAGTTACACCAGTGTCAACTCTAAGGCTACTTATTTGAAGCTGTTCATTTCTTTTGTGTCAACATCTTTCACTCTTAAACAGCAAGATGGCTCCATGTTTGTTAAGTTTAGTAGCTCATTACACACAAAAGATTTTCTGCTTTATCCATGACTAAGCATGTAACAGAGTTGATGCCACATATTATGAACAATGTAAAGCCAACACTATTTAAATATGTTTGGCTTAATGTCAAACTAAATGATCTTTTTCTTTTTGACTTGAGTCTAATCAAAGTAAACACACAACAAGTTCTAAATAATAAAATTTTTGTTCACAGTAGAATCAAGACACACTTAATGTGTTGTTTTTTTTAAGTTCGTCAATGGATATGTGAAGGTGTAGAGATATACTGTAGGCCAAGTTACAGCAATACAGCTTTGACCCTGAATTATTTTGACCTACTT